AACTGGAAAATAAAAGTGAATGGAGAGAAATCAGTCGAAGTAAATTTTACTTTAAGCCGAAACGAATGCCTCCAACTTCAGATCAATGAAAAGCCAATCACTATCAACCCTCAAAAAAATACTTAGGTTTAATCCTTGACAAGCGACTGATGTGGAGCCACCACACCAAATTTAAACTTAAACAGACCAATATTCATTTTCATCTCGTTAAAACACTACTCAAATTCAAAAAATTCACCTCAACAACAAACTCCAAGACTATAAAATTATTATAAGATCAGTCTGGTCCTATTTTCTATGGTATTCAAATTTAGGGGCCCGCTAACCTTCCAATATACGTCCACATCAGGCCGTTCAGACTATCTATTATCTTAAGTTAATAAAGTAATAACAGGAGTTCTCTGGTTTATTATAAACGAATCACTTCACAAAGATTTCCAGCTACCAACAGCCCTTGAACTCACCAAGACTTATTACTGAAAAAGATTCCATGTTATACTCATCAATAACATGTCAACCATTTTCCTTCCTAGAAATGTTCAACGTCCTCTCAAAAGCCACTGGTCCAAAGATTTACCTTGAATTTTATCAAAAATGAGCAACAGACAAATATTTTTCCGTATTATTTTATGTGAGCTACAAATTTTTAAACAAAACATTATTTCTTTATATAATAGAGTTTAAATATTAAAAATGATTAACAAAACAATAATATAACTAAGAATAATATTCATTAAATTACGAATGTATTCCATTATAATATTATGTATAATATGTACATTGTACAAGAATGTTTTGCGGTTTACGAATTTCCTAGTACAATCTCCGAGAAACTCTTAAAAAGCAATAAAATTAAACGCGAAAACTTGGTACCTATGTAAAAAATATTAAATTAAATGTGTTTGTTATTTTATAAGGTTCTATATTTTTCCAGGAATCATTTTACAATATTTTACAACACATTATAGTGGGTATAAATATATAATATAGACATATAATCTTATTTTATTAAATTGATTGCTAATAATGCAACTCTTGATTACGATTGAAAAATGAAATCCAATTTATTCAATGAATACCGTCGTAAACAAATACAAAATTAAAATTGTAGATATGCAACACGTCGCTAACAGTTAGAATTCTGAACATTCATATCATATTTTATATCACACAGGGGTGTGCTTTTATCAAAAGGAGATTTTTAGTTGATTCACAATACTCGTTATAGATACTATGTCAAATATTCTTGTTTAAATTAGTAAATAATTGAATAGGTAATAATGTATTAAACATTAATGTGTACCAATAACCGCTTTTGATATTATAACATGCTAATAGAATAAACTTACAAAATGTGTAATACTAATTATCTACTACAGCTTTTCTCACAATACAAACAATACTTTATATTATGTTAATGAGTAATCACTTTTCAATGCTATCAGCAGGTGTTTAATTTGTATGCATGGATATCCGGATTTAGAAATGTAAGTTGTAGAAAACCCTTGACCCAAATTCTTCAATAAAAGTCCTTTTATACATTTTGCTCTACAGAGGTTAAAATATTCCTAAATATAAAATATAATATATTAATAAAATTTATTTTATTCTTAAAGTAGGTAGTAGTTTAATTGTGAGGTATGGCGATAGCAAAACCATATTTATTATTATATTATATTATTATATTAGGACCTAGGTAAACAATTGAATATTATGTTTACTATAAACAGTAGAATATATTGAGTTTAAACAAATTTACATTTAGACGTGCCTTTAATTCTTTTATTGATCATAAAAATGACATACATTTTGTATCGTATTTCCAACGACGTGTTGTCCATTTGTTAAGGTATATTTTTTGGGTCAGTGTATCAATAGTTGTGATGTATATTATTATACGACACTGGGCACTGACTGGCATCGTTAAAATTTGGAAGAGACGTTATTTTATGTAGGTACCTATTCCATTCAGACACGTAAAAACGAAATACTGACGGAAGCCAACGTTGAGCAATTTACACAAAAATCCTCAAAATTTAAGGCAGTGCCTTGTAGATTTCTCAAAATTGTAAAGGAAAAAAATACAAAATATACATATACTTAACGTATTATTTTATTTGTTTATAAACACTTAATATTCAAACACATACGTATTAACAATAAACTATTTAAAGGTGTATCTTGAAAGTGTTTCCCATTATTAAACCGAGTTCGATAAGATATTTTCTGACTGCTGGTTCAATTCGAGTCGGGAGTTCATAAATTGTCGTACTCTACAACTAGCTATACAAACAGCAGCATTGCTTGAAAAATAAATTATAATATTTATGAAAACAAAAACGACGTATATAAAGACATTTGTCTACTCTAGTCTTTACATTTTTTGTTTAATATTGCTTGAATAATTTTGGAAACTAAAAGTTAAAAGGGATATGAAAAATATTTAAATAGATCTACCCCAATGTTGTAAAACATTTATAAAAAATAAAAATAATAATAAACTCCAAATTACCATGATACTGAGCCACTGAGGGTTAAATAATAATAAAAATCTATTTATTTAGAATAACGGTAAATTTAATTTGTTTGTACAAATTGTATTTTTTATATAAAAATAGTTATTTACTTAAGTGCATTTATTTTTAAATTTTTTTCCATGTTTTTAGGTACAAAAGCGTACACGTTCCTATTAAAAATTCTATTACTTATAATACGTATCTGTATGTTCTCATCGTGTTGTGTCTCGTTCATATTACAACACTATATAGTATATAACCATAAAATATGAATAATTTTATAAAATACATTAACTAATATTTCTCAAATGTACTCTCAAATTCTCAATATTTAACATAGAATTATAATGTAGAAAATTACTTTATTTATTTTGATAGGTTTGGAGTAAATACTAAATACTGAACAAAATATATGTGTTGCGACTGTATTCATTATTAAAGACTAAGGGACAGTTCAGAAAAAAATCACACATAGATGTGCTAAAATATTTTTCCACTTCGCACTCTGATCCGTTTAAATTTAAAATACTTAGAAGTTACTTGCTTATAGAAACCTTCTTTACATCATGTATATAGACAATTAAATAATAAATATGTTATTTTTAGAATAGTCGAATTATTTGTTCTTGATTTTGACAAATTCGTATTATTATACCTATCTAATAGGTACTAAAAATGTTTGACGGTGTATTTAAGTTACTAACTTACTATACTTTGGAAAGCTGCCCTTAAAGTATGAAAAATATAATAAAATAATATTTTTCACCTTATAGAAAAAAAATCAAGCTGAGGGTGGAGCCCTTTCAAATTTTTATATCCACGCCTGTCTCTAGGATATTATTTCGAATGCTTTAGCTATAAGTAAGTAACCAACCCATCATAATTTATAACTAGTAAACAAATAATTAAATGCCATAAAAAATATCTGGCAAACAATTTGTCTCGCCATAGAACATTACTAATAACGCAGACGCACTAATTATTGGTACAACATCTTATTATAATAAAATAATTATTTTAGTAGGTAAATATTGATAAAATGATATCTATTAAAAAATGCAAAGATTTGATCACTGTTTTTTTAAGACCGTGCTTTTGATCGTCGAAATAAGATTTCCAATTAGAAAAACCGTTTAACATATAGTATCAATTATTTCATTAAAATATTCTGAAAAAATTATTTAAAATAAGTATTATTGTACTGACAATAATTATTAAAAAAAAAACATTATTTTATCGTTAAATAAGGTATTCAATAAGAAAAACCAGAGGTACAACATTATCATATTATCAATTATTTCCTTAGAATGTTCCGAAAAATTATTTTTAAAATAATTATTATCAAACCTAAGAATTGAAAAAGGTTTCTCATAAGTACCTACTCGGCGATAGTGTAATCAAAATGTGAGCCGTTAAGGAGCGCCTAACAGATGAGAAACATCGAAATTATTTTGTATAGAAAATATGCATTTAATAGGTAGTTTATTAAAATAATTAAACGGCATAATCAAAAATAAAATATTCAGTTTTTTTTCAGAAAAACTGTTATTATTTATAAAAAAGGTTAAAATTTTGATTTAATATTTAAGCGGGATATTTTGTTATGGAATATTTTTGAAATATTTTGTCAGGGATTGTTTGACCGGGAAATGTTGTCACGGGACCCCCGCAATAGTAGAATTGTAATTTATTATTTCACGTCTATCCAGCTGCTTACATTATTCGAGTTGAGCGCCTTTCCGCGCAAAGTTTTGCTATCGGCTAGATTCGTTGCACTCAGGGCCGTATATTTAGAAATTATGCACCCTGAGGCTCTAATAAAATTTCAACCATATTTTTGGCGGCAAACTTAAGATACCTTTTATTAAATTTGGTTCCACTTCAAAACATCCGACTAAATATATAATTTCTAAACACGGCCCCGAGAGCAGCGTACTAGAGCCGATTGCAACATTTTGTGCCGAATTGAGCGCAATCAATCGAATAATATAAGCAGTTGAATGGACGTATATAATAATACGTTATAATCCTACTATTGCGGGAAGTCGACTTATTACGGTATATTTGTAAATATCTTAAATTAAAATGTTTAGGAAACGCTATATCATTATTGTATGACGTTATTCGGCGAGCGTTCGGAAGAATTTCGTCTCCAGGTTAGGGTGCCATTGGCGATGGATTATGTTGACAAATCACAAAATAGCATCAGGGGCGGCAGCGGCTGGCGAGGAAACTGAGCGCGCGCGACCCATGTGTCAGTGTAAATACAACGATAGGGACCGGTGGTGTGTTGTCGGCGGCAAAACGTTGTGCGGGGTGATCGGTATTCGGCGGCGGGGTGGTGTTTAGGGGTAGGTGCGTGGTGGAGGGTGGCAAATAAATGCCGAACGGCGCCGATTACGCGAGCGCCGCCGAACACGCCCCCTCGGGACCGTACGACGAGACGGGGTGTACTGGCCCCGCAGGCAGTCGACCAATCGCGCGCGACACCCGATCCCGACGCGGTGTAGCCGACACCCCACTGTAGCCCGCACGCTAGTCCGCGACGGCGGTAATCAAACGTAACGCGCGGCACTTAACCGATTGACGGCTCTATTAAACGTTTATCGTTGGCGCGTAATACTGAAAAAACACTGAATATAATACATAATTATATACGCGTGTCTGTACGCACATCGCGTAACTATACATCTATCTGTATATAAATATATATATATACATTAGTACCTACGTAGGATAAATCGATTTTTAATAATTTTTATAATTTCTCTAATATAATATCATCACAAGTAGTGTTCGCTGTCGTACCGAAGACAAATACGGTTTTAACGACAAAACAAAACCGACAATGACGATTCCGGCCGTATGTTGAACGCCGCCGTAGCTGTCCTATTGCACCAGACCACACACATTGCATAGTACCCACGTTCAAGTCCGCAGAAACCGATGAAATTGGACGGACGACTCGGCGGGACGACGTGCGACGGCGGCGGTGCTGTTTACGGTGCATCAGCGGGTCTCGGCGACAACGACGACCGCACGGAACGGCCACCGACCTCCGCCGCCGCCGCCACAGCCGCGGTGGATGAGCGCGGCTTGACGTCGCCGCGGGAACAGTGCGATTGCGACTCCGACGCCCGTGGACAGGCGATGGCCACCTGCACGGCGGCTGGTTCCGCTGCCGTGCCGAAGACGTCTACCGTCGGTTCGTCGCTGTTTACCATCGACAGCATACTCGCTCCGTCCAGGTCGTCCGACATGTCGGCGGTCACTGCGGCCTCTGGCCGCAACAACGTAACCGCGGCCACGGCGGCGGCCACCGGGTTCTTCAAGCAGCCGTTGAGCTTTGGACACCTGGCTGCCGCCGCAGCCGCGTCCGGATACGCGCACTCCACCGCCGCAAACTTCTTAGGTAAGTTTTTGCGTCAAGCTCATATACCTTAAATACTTATACCAACCTAAAGATACTATTATCCAGGGGCGTCGTTTGATGTGTTGTAGCCTATGCTCATGTATACTTACAACTTGTCAATATTGCATTTTGGCCTGACGATAATATTTTTTTTTTTTTTATTGGTCTCGAGGATCGGTAACAATGGCCATGATGTGACATTATTATTAATATATTATTTGAAATATAAATGAATTGATATAAAATGTTTGGTTTGTATTAAATATTTTATGGGTGACTGAGGACTTCAGGATTTGTTTTATATAGTCTTATAGAATAGTTATAGTTACATTATGCATGTAGGAACTTAAAATAAAATTTAGAATTCCCTGGCACCATACACAAGTTATCTAAATGGGGCCCAGTATTTCGAAAAACAAAAAAATGAATGTTTTTAGGTACAATTTATTGAAATTAAAATAAATTAAGTACTAACCATTAGTATTGTTAGGTATACAATATTCATAATAAATTAGATTATTAGATTGAAAACATAAAGATTGTAATTTTCTAGCTTAGAGAAAAACACATTTTTTTTTAATAACACTAGATATAGTACAATATATTTTGGGCTGCTGAAAATCTTTTTGGATTTCCTAGTTGTTACTTGTTAGTATACCTTTCAAAAAGTTGAAATTACGACCCTGCTCTTATCTCGCTTGCATAAACATTTACCGTAAGAATTGTGATAATAGAAATGTTCGTGTTTGAACTGAAGAAGCTAAACCATTTTACATTGATTTTTTTTTTAAAAAGTTTAAAGTATTAATCTTTTATCTTATGCAAAATACATTTAAATGAAAAATAAGAAATAGGTATTGAAATCGTTTTCATCTTACATCGCAGACTTTTTAAACCAATTAAATTTCTTTTAGAACGCAATACCATTAATATTTCAAACTCTTAACTTAGTAGGTATCGAATCGTATTAGCTAAACTATAATAATTTAGTTGGCGGGAAATGAAAATTCGTTTTTGATGGGAAATGTTACAACCCGTGTGCTCCGGTATGTACTATTATCCCACTCTAATACCACTGTTATCAATGGATGATGATATATTTATTCTCATTTTACACAAATTATATTATGTGATCAAATAAGGAAGACGGATTTAACACAGGAAATTTAACTTGTGTAATATGTACAATATTATGTAATTATTGAATATATTTTATATTTACTATTTTTTATTTTTATTTGAAGGATCTTCTATATTACCTATTATTGAAATGATATAAATAGTTACTATCTATTTTTTGAGATCATTTAGATGACTGAATTCGTTTGGAATATCATCATAAATCGATGTTTTTGAGATACTTGTCTTTATGTACTTTATGCTACACTGTACAAATGTGCCTTGGTATGAATAATTATTTAAAATATAAAAGCTTTAAATAATAAACTATTTACTAACTTTTTTTTAAATAAGAGGACAAGTAGAATCAATCGTAGGTCAGATCTAAGTCAATACAGTATAATGAATAATTATAAACAAAATATATATACTAATGAATACTGTAGTAACTAGGTACTATAATTAGTATAGGTTTTGTTATAGCTGATCAGGAAATATTGGTAACTCTTACCTAGCTATATGTGAAATGAAAATATTCCTTAATTCTGATTTCATATTCTATCTTTATGAAACTGGTGCAGAGATCTATCTATACTTAATAACGAAAATAAAAAATTTAAAAAAAATTGTATCTATGATTTACTAATTGATTACCATCAGGTAATAATCGGGTAATTAATAGTTTCTACGAAGGAATAAATTTATTATTTTTTTTTTGTAGCTTTTAATTTGTTCTACAAGAATATTAATTAACTATTTGTTCTACCTAGTATCTTTTGTTCCGTGACATCTAGTTTACTTTTCAACAATGCTTTAAAAGTTAATTATTTCAGTTATTAAATGTATTAAAGAATACTCCACTTGACCAATTCCACTACCCCTTCCTACTGGTGCTTATATTAATGTCAATTTTGAGGGTTATTTGATTATTTAGTAAATTTTTTGATGTGTAATTTTTTACCTGCTTAATGAAAATTTAAATTTAATCAATTATTATTGGTTAAAATTAAGAATAAATGATTCATTTCATACCTTGAACTAATGTTGAATATAAATGTTTTATCAATATTCTTTTTTAATATTATTAAAATATATAAATAATTATTTACTTTAATTCATTTAAAATCTTATCATTTATAAAATCTCAAATTTCCATTTAAAATTAAATATGTTCATTAGTTTGATTATTAAATATTGTTCAATTATTTTATTCCTTTGAACCTAATAAATACAATTTATATTCAATATTGTATTTACTTTTAAATTTAATATTTGAATACCAATTAAATCCAACTATTTTACAATATTTATGATTGACCAATGTTATGTTGGAAACTATCAAATGAAGGACAACATGTAAGTCCCCGCAGCACATCTACTAACCCATATTGGTTTCAGTACCTATCTAGGTATTTTTAGTTTTTCTAAATACACAAAACGTGTCAAACAGCAAGGATTTTCAAATATGACCTAATTTATATTTGGTGGAATTATAGTAAGTAACTAACATTATTAGTTTCATTGTGCTCACAAAAACTCCCAATAGTAATTTGGAATAATAATAATTAATAATAATAATTTAAATATTTAAAAAAATATATATTTACTACATCGTTTTCAAACATAACTTACATGTTACATGTGTAAAAAGTAAAAATACACGGCTATCAACCATGTAAAATCATATTATGGCGAAGTAATATGAGCACCTAATTTTAAGTGGCAATTCATCACTCATTTATAACTTATTACTATACCTAGGTATTTAATTGTAAAAAGTGTTCACAATGAAAATATCATATATTGAGTATTCGTTTTATTTTTATCTACATTGGTAAAACAAATAATAGTGGGCAATATCATATCTATATTTTAATTCAGCATATTATTATTTATTTTTTAGGACCTAATCTTAATAATAAATACCTGGTTTTGAAATTATATGTAGGTATTTTTTTTCTGAAGATACATTGTATAGTTGTCAAAATTCTTTGATCTTTAACTTATAGATGGGTTTTTGGTAGCCAAATCAAGTTCGAACTTAAGGAGTTGGGGTTAAAAGCAAAAATTTAACAGCGGGAATAGCTAAGATAAAACGTGAATTTTTAGGTGATACCAATTATTTTTCACAAAATTGACTTAATTATTTTGTTTTAATTAAAAACAAATAACCACAGATAGTTGAAATTTTCACTTGATGTTTATATCTTCTGAATATTTTGACTATATTTGAGCTATTAAAAGAAATCATACATTTTCGATTTTTTTTTTTTCTATAGATGTTGATAAAATATCGAATTCTCTGTCAAAAAGCTTTAAAATATAATAGAATATTCCTCATAACTTGTTCTACCTGGAATTAAAAAAAAAAGAAGTATATAGTTAAGCTACATACATTAGTTCTATATAAACATTTGAATATTGCTAAATATATAATAGTTTTTCTATGCCATAGGTACCAATCAATATTCAATTTTTTTTCAACTTTTTACTATAGGTACGGTCTTTATAACTTTTTTTTACAATAACTAATAAGTATAATTGCTGTACGGTGAATGTTGAGTTGATTTTCGGTGGATGAAAAGGGTGATTTTTTACCGTTTTTAGTAATTTTGGGAGAGTGTGTAGCTACTGACAGTAGCCTACTGTAATACTAACATACAATAATAATATAACACATAGCACCTACATGAATAATGAATTGTAAATCATTCTGTATGCAATCAATTAGTCTAATTGTTTTTTGAATATCTTCATATTTATATATTTTAGCATTATTACATCAAACAATTTTTTTTTTAATCAAAAAATGTTATATTATTTAGTTATTTACGATTATATTTTGATAAATTTTATTTTATTTTGCGTAGTTATGTAAAAAATATATATTAATTAAAAAAGAAATTGACTTGGCGTTTAAAGTTTCAAAGTTGGTTTAATTGTCATACATGATGTGTTTCATAAATAATTTTACTAATGATTAAAGTTTTTTGTTTTAAAATTTATCATTGAGGGTTTTGAATTTGTTTTCTATTAACATTTTAGCTAAAATAAAAATATTATCCTATACAATTTGTATTCTAATTAGCTAACAGTTTCCAGTTATTAGTAGACGTACAATTATTTACCGACTAATTTATAGACGCTCATCCAGTAAACGTTTGGAACTCACCATGTAACATAGTATTTTCACTTAAATTGAATTAATTACTTATAGATATGGCTTAAAATTTACGACAGACACTGCAAGCCGCAAGGGACCCTCTGAAACGTTTAACAGCGGTCAATTTTTAAACAACATTTGTATGTTGATAACAAATTTAAATAAAATGTAAATATACAAGCTCTGTGAGCCATTCGCCGTGGCTTATTATTATTGCAAACAAAAAAAAAAATGAATTATGGCATTCGATGTAATTCATTACAATTGTGATTAAAACAAATATTGATGAATAAAAGTAGGACAATATTACTCGGTTTGGCTTCATCTTATTCATTATTACATCGAGCATAAAATGTTAATATATATCCAAATGACATAGTATATATATGAGGTATTATATTTTAACAATATATAAATAGGTATCAATGCTGGAAACTGGCACGGTGTAACGGTGTAAAATATATACTTGGCTCACATTTAATATATTATATGGTTTTGTACATGACCTATTGCATATTTTATTTCTAAGCACTGTGTTTTTTCGACACGTGGACAGCCGATAGTATTACACACAAATCTCCCCTTTGCCACCCAGTAAACATCTGTGTTTTGTGCGGTATTTTAAATCCGTTTGCAATATGCAAAGGCTTCGCAAATAATTGCTTCGCTCATTCAAAAAGATCCTGTGGACCGTGTGAAGCCGCGCGGCCGTGCAATGCTTTGTGCGCAGTGTGACATTCAATTTCTGATATTTTCAAGTATAATAATAATGTAATGAAAATACACCTGATCGAGCATAAAGGGGTTTTCGTGTATCGAAGGTATATTCGCGGGGTAGACGAAGACGCTTATACCACACGCTGACAATAATCGCTTGTTGATACTCGTACTTTAGCATTTAAAAAACCAGTGACTTCCATGATACTCGTGTATTAAATAAACTCGTTGGTTTAAAGTAAACATAAATTTAATAAAAAAAAAAAAAATACAAAACAGTGATTTTTCCAAATCCCTAGATAAATAATAAATACGTTCTGACGTTCGTAGTATAAAACATACATTATGCACTATAATATTATGTATTGTGTAATGACTAAAAACTCGTGTTCTAATAAAAACATATGTCTATATGCTTACACGTTTACACTCGATAAATTATTGTTGGAGTGGTTGAAACAGTTATAAGCCAGAAAATAATTATACCTAACACACTTGGTGTATAATTTTTCGAGGTACGATTATAGTATGAGTTATAAGTTGTATCTCACGATTCATAATACCAACTTAAGACAGTATTGATTGATTTTTTTCAAAAAGCACATAAATATGAATCATAAACCTAAGGTAAATCGAGAGAGTGAAATATGATTAAAAATAAGATCATTGCAATAATTGACCATTATATTATTGTATAGGTGCTCTGGTCTGCAATGGGTACCTCCTAAATGTGCGTAGTAAAAGCGACATCGGCTAGTAGCGAGTGCTCGGTCAATGGGTACCTCCTATCCATTTCTCATAGTATTTATACCGTTTTGGTATCCGCGGTGTATATAGGTACCTACGCATAATATTATTATAAATCACTTAGGACCGCGGCGGGTATGCGGTTTTAATTTGTAATGTTCACAGCTTCCGGGCAGACTTTTCGGTGGTTTTTTTTTCTGTTTTCAACGTTCCGTCTCCCCGGGCTCGTGGCGCAGAGCAAATCTATACACAATATTATGCATGCACTATAATACAATATACATACATGTACACGACGCTTAAATCTAGCAAATCCTAAGAGCTTTGTTTCGCTCCCTCGTACACACACACACACACACACACACACACACACACACACACACACACGCACACCTCTATACATATAATATCGTACGTGTTACTCGGGTCGAGGAGACCACGCCGATGCCCGCGCACGCTGATCGAACTTTAATCAACCATAAATAAGTAATGCACAACGACGGCCGTGTGTGTTTGCATTGTTCCCCGTCTGCGGTTCAAATCAGATCAACGGTGCCTCGGGCCCGGCGGTATATTATTGTGTTATGTATATGCATATGTATACGTGCAGATATAATAAATATCGCGCATATACGTATCCGACCCTCCCGCCGCCGCCGCCCGTGTCAATCATGTTGTACGTTGCTCGAGGTTTTTTCTTCCGATTGGTTTTATTTTTATTCGCCCCCCCCCCTAAATAATATTTATAAGACGCGTATTTGTTCTCTAAAGTTCTCCGCCGAATAGTTTCCGTGCATGCGGTCACCGAAAGCGTAATAAGCAATAACCGTATATTGACTATACATATAATAATATTATTATTATTATTATTATTATTATTGTTGTTGTTGTTACCTGACCAAAAAACACTGCGGGCTGCAGTATCGTTCGTCGGTTGTGGGCACCTACTGTGAGTACGCGCACATTAAACACTGCATTAAATAAACCAAACAGCAAAAAAAATTACCGTTATAATGTAGACCGCGGTTGACGGTCTGCGATTTTTTTATTTCCTCGATAGGCTTGAAGCCGACAAAACCGACGTGGTGACTTAATTTGCTATTTTTTTTTTCTCGGTCGTATTACAGTTGCCGCGGCTGGTTACCAAAGCATCTATCCCAGTTACATGATGGCCATGGCGGTGACGGGGGGCCACGGGGCCGCTGGAGGCCATCATCACGGTCCCGCGTCCATGTTCGCCGGCCCACCCGCCAAGAGAAAGAGAAGGCACCGGACCATATTCACCGAGGAACAGCTCGAACAGTTAGAAGCGACTTTCGAGAAGACGCATTACCCAGACGTGGTTCTCAGGGAGCAGTTGGCGCTGAAGGTGGACTTAAAAGAAGAACGAGTCGAGGTTAGAACTTAGTACCTACATTTATTTAAGCTTTAGAGTAGACTTTATGTAGGTGTTGTAAAAGAGTGTGTTGTGCATTATTCTATTATTACACATTTATTTACACCTTTGGTGTTACGCGTCTGCAGAAAGTCACTTATATTCGCGTTCAAATATATAGTTCAAACTTAAAATAGGTTTAAAAGCGATTCAACCTACGAACAAGAGCGCCCGCAAGGATATCCCTCCTCTGGGATTTTGATAACTGTACGTAGTTTAATATAGCAAGCATATATAATATGGCATATCATAAATAGTTTATAAAATAATTTTGAAATGAAAAAGTGTTAACAATTATGAGGTAGGTACGCTATATTAGAATCGAGATACTTATAGCATATCAAAATATGTTAACACAGGCATAATGAACAAAAAAAATTTGGAAATTAAATTTTAATCTTGCCCCGAGTAAAATATTATTCTGTGACCTGCGGGAGATCTTACCTAAGTACAATAAATTAGGTATAATTTATAAATAGTAAATATAACTTTCATAGTTTCGTGATTAAAAAGAGGATACAGAACAACCAGGTGCAGGCTACCTGGCTATCACCCGCCTTATATCAATCACCCCGACAGGAGATAGTGGAGTACTGTAATTTATAAATCTGATGGTAAAAAATTTAATTTGTTAAAAAGTTTTAAGCGGAGCAAGAATAAACCAGAGTTTGCTTATTTTTTTTAAATTTCTTCAACATTCACTTTAGTTTTTCTCAGAAAAATTTCTGAACGTAAAAAATATTACATTTTTTAAGTATCAACCATACGTCCATACATAAACCGTTTACAATCAAATTTTATTCGAATATAATAAACGAGAGAATAAAAATTCCAGTACTATATAGGTATTTATATTTAAAGGTGGGAATTAAGTCTTGGTGTACATATAAATACTTTAATAGTTAAATGAGGAAATTTTGTTTTTAAAATAGTTTTTTCTGTGCAAGAAAAAATAATTGCTGATTTCTGTCGAATAGTTTTATAGCACAGTACATGATCGGTATATGTACCACGATTTTAATCGTAGTTATAAAGTGCAATATTACAAAACGTTTCCATACACTATATTCTGCCAAAGTGAGCAAAGCGTATAATATTATATAGTATCCTATTTCTTTAATGTCCTCTGCTTTTCAATTTATTTTATTAAATGGAAACCTAGTTTTTAATTTAAAATGTTGATACGAAATCATTATCTTCGTACTTACATGTGCTTTTTTTTATGAATATTTTACAATTAATTATTTAACTTTTAACAAACTCTATGGTTTAGCTCTCTCCTAAAATAAAATTAACAATATAACATAAAATGAATAACTTTGTTTCATATCTTTCAGCAGTCAATCTTTTTCACTATAAACAATTTTATTGTTAAAATGTAATAGGTTATAGATAAATTTGCAAACAAAAATTATAAATACATTTTTTTTACAGAAATATACAAAAATATAGTGTTACTATATTTAATTGATATTGAAACTTTTTCAGGCAATATAAATCAAATCTGATCAAATACAAAATACAACATAATTCTGAATTATACTATATTATTCTGCATATTTCATTTTATATTTCTACATTCAAATAATTTTTTTTAAATTAAGTATCAAGTATTTAAAAATCAAATTTAGCTGAGAATAGTTAAAACGTATTTAATAAAAATGTAGGTATTATGGTTATGTAAACTTATGTTTAATCATTATAATACATTTTAGTATTATTAAATTTTGGAATTAATTAATATTTACCGTATTAGTATATTACATAATTTTATCATAAAACTATAGAGACATAACAATTTAAATTTAAATAGTTTTTATGCTTGGATTTGAATATGCGGATATTGGTGTATGTATTGTATCGTTGTATTGTTGATTAGTTATAATTTTAACTATGATAGTATAATATTTATACTAAAACGCGTTGATAAAATCATTTATCATTTACGGGACTTAACATAATATCAATCCATTACCTTATAATTTGTTGAATATAAGTGGGTAGTAAATATTCGTAATGGTATATTATCTTTTCTCTCATATTCTAATGCGGTTATTATCCAAGCCTGCCATAAACGATTGTGAAAACTCACACATGTTTATTATTTTAGGGGTGTAATTGATAGGAAATCTATAAAATATAATGTAGTTGTCGGGGTTAAGAGGTTTTTTCTCTCTCTTTAGCTGCTCATTTTAGGGGTGAGAAATCATGTTCTGAAGTGTTTTGATTGGGTTCGGTCGAATGGCTTTAGGGTAACAATGAACCTCCTGGATTTATTTTAATTAAATTTCATGATATGGTTTCGTTTTCTCTATTTCCGTAACAATATTCGCATGTTTACAAGACGAATTAATGGGAAATGGCTTTTATACAGTTTCATCGGCGATGATTAACCAACTTAGGGCACTCTGTGCTTTTGTTGATCTTCGAACCCTTAGAAATGAAAATCTCCAATTGTGTCAAAAGCTTTTTATTATTATTAGCTGTTTTGCCATTAGAATTCATAAACCCATAAAAAAGAATAATGGATTTTCATCAAAATATATTAATTTAACCATCATTACAAAAGTGAAATTCTTTATTATTTTTTTTTTAAAACATTAACTGCAGTATCTTCAATTTACGAAACGTAATTACATTTATTGCAATTATTTCAATCCATTTTGAAAAAAATAATATAGAATACATATTATTAATAAAACAATAAATTTCTGGCCATAAACTTTTCCATTTTATGTTTATTTTTACTATTTTGTATATACACTTATATACAGGCATATAGGCATATGGCGCATAGTCCCTAGATGTATCAAGCGACATATTAAAAAGGAAAAACTTAAGGCCTTCATTAATGATATTCATTACTAAACTATAGTTAATACTTTTCAAGTTTTCTCTGGATTCAATATGCTCATCAGTAACATTATATTAATATATTAATACAAAAGTATTATGTGATAGAAAATGATTTCTTCTTTAAAAACAACATTATCATTATTTTAGTCTTTCAAGTTCACTATTAAAATATAAAACATTTATCAATATTCTTATACTTTGTCTTAATATTTAAAAATAAAACCGCTCTTCTTCATTTGTTTTGATTGTGTACGATGCACATCTGCGAGTCGACTTTCGTTGACTTAATAAGTGTACCTCATCCTTACATAAGTTTAAAAAAGCAGACGGAAAATTAAAAATAATACAAAATCCAGAAAGAACCCTAAACTTTTTATAAAATGTATCCTGATACCCGCAAGGAAAAGGGAAGGAATTACGCAAAAACAATACGTCAATTTGATAAAGAATCCTTTTAACGAAACATAAACAACTACTAAGGGCACTAAGGCGAGCTCTGTGTTATTTTTTCATAAAATATTATTATTTTATAATACTATATACATAATAAATATTTTTTTTTATATCATATATTTATAAGAATATGGCTGGCTGAAATATTTTTTATTATTATCATAAGGCTATTCAACTGTAACGCGGAAAATACAATAAGCTCCCTGAGGGCCGCCGCCATCCCCGGTCATCATTCAAATCCGGACGTGGGAAATAGGGACACTTGGAACCAATAGAAAAATCTGAATTTTTCTGCATATATTTCGCATAATAACATTCCTCTATACCACCTCCTAGAAAAATAGTCATAATAGGTACATATATTATATATTTTATTAGTCAACTTAAGTTATTATTTATATCGTTTTTATTGTGACCTTTTAGAATTATTGTATACCAAACTAAAATATATAATATAAATAGATAAATATATATATAAATATAGGTGTATATTGTGTATAATATAAATTTTAAAACTATATAGGCTATAGGAATATACGTTCAAATTATAAAAATGCTGCACATTATAATATACAAATTTATGATGGCATCGTGTTTTATTATTTTTTCGATCTATAAATATAACTTAACTACTAAACACCCTCCTCATTAGATTGTTTCAAAAACACAGGACGGCGATTATTATATCAGAGCTATAAACACAAATTCTATAAAATATAATATTATGAATATAAATACTAAATATCATGTCTGTATTAAACTTGTCATATCTCACACCATCGAACACTATAGCACATTCGCACCCCATTATACACTATATATAGACTATCTACCTGTGTTTCACGGGAAAATTCAACTGATCCGTGAAAACGTTGGTGTGTTTATGAGACCGAAATAATTGGCACAAAGGCCGTCTTTGACTGATGTTCCCCAATACATGATAATATTACAATTTATTATCTTGTCGCTATGTTGCTACGTGTAGCGTATTTTGACATTTTCATCGTGCGTGCGACAAGGGAGGTGGTGGCATTTTTTCAATGGTAATAATCAGAGTTCTTTGTATCTGTAGAAGAATATTTTGTAAAAATGTAAAATAAAAGCAAAATGCAATAAAAAAAATACCCCTCATTCACTTCGACATGAAAAAATGAATATAGTTATATAACATAGAAATAGGTACATAAAACCGTATTTCTGAGATTATTAAAAAATATTATTCTACATTTGCAAACAAAAAAAACATTTATTTCTCTTATTCTATTGATTAAACATATAAATAGTTTTAAAACGAAAAACAATAACTTAATTTTTGCCATTAAATATATAAGGTTAATCTATTATATAATATTAAATATTTGTATATATACATATATTACTTATTGTCTTATGAATTACTAAATTGTCTTCCTTTAAATAACCTAGGTGTAACGTGAAACTATTTTTATTTGAATTTATTATTGTAATTTAAACAAAAAACATATAAGAGCATTTTTTACGTAATAGAAATAAAACATTTTAATTCATAATTGAAGCCCTTTGTATCGTTTTTGCATTTTCTTTATGTCGAACACTCAATCGTTTCATTATGCCTATTATAACTATATAAACAAATTCATAAACATAAACTTCTTTAGTCATTATATTTATATCCCACATTACGTGTAAAATAAAATAAAATAAGAAATATCTTTAAACTGAAGACGTGTTTCATCCATGAAAGTATTAAATGTAGGTAGGTATGTACATGTTTTAGGTATATTTATAAAACTAATAGAAAATGATATAAATATATATTTAATAAAACATAATGACTATAGCCTATAGGTAAATTAAATCTTAAGATTTCAAACATTTTTATTTTAATTTTAATAATTGGTTATTTAGAAAAATCCGTGACAAACAACGGAGCTATAAAATATTTTGTTGTTGATGCTATTAAACAGTTTCAGACAAAATTTTAAATACTGTTCTTTGCGAGTTTTTATTTTCATAATCTATACTGTCTTTAGGAAATATAAATACTCTCAAAGTCACAAATGCACAAATAAATAACCAACATTTATACCTGTTAGACGTCAGTTATTAGTGTACCAGGAGAAAAAGTATCTATGTATAAAGCTATAACAATTCCTAAGTATTGAGAATTTTGTTTCAGTAATAACAATTTTTTTAATTAAATGCTGTTATTTATATTTTGTAGATTACCCAATGTGATTTTATCAATAATATTTCGTGTTAATTCATAGCAACTATATGGAATTTTGAAATTTGTGCTCAATATTTCAAGTCCTTGTTACATTATATTTATATGAATTTTTTGTGGCTCGTGTTCTTATAGGTGTGGTTTAAAAATCGTCGGGCAAAATGGAGAAAACAAAGACGCGAAGAACAAGATAGACTGAGGAAAATGCAACATCATCTAGTGGATCAGCCTGGAGTGTCTAATGGGCTAGCAGCTGCAGTGGCGGCAGCCGCGGCTAGGGGGGGTGATCCCATGCGGTTAGTTCATCTGCACGTGGACGAAGAAGAACTCGAAGAAGATCCCGATTCTTCAGACTTAGAAGTTGCTTGAGTAAATTCTATCGACTGAATAAATGATTGTTTGTCTTTTTTGTACATCTAAGCTCTTGAGGAGCTGGTTTTTTTTTTTGTTAACCCGGAACGATGCATATATGTATATTTTTAAGATGTGTTTTGATATTTTAAAAGCGTTTCTTTAAACCAATAATGATAATCAGTAAAATTCGTTTTTTTATTGATAATATTGAACTCCTGAATGGCTAAAAATATCATAATTTGTTACCTAAAATATGCTTTTTACATTTATAATAATGTGTGTTATGAAAATCTAACGTAGGTAATATAAATTATTTATATATTACACAAATAATACAATATAATATAGTATAGGTACCTACCTGACTAAATTAAATATTTGAACTGCGAATGTTCGTATTATTTAAAAATAAAAATACATGATATTACTTATAAGTTTGTGTAGTACAATACTGCAAAGCGTTCGTAACTAATAACTAGGTATTGATTTTATATTATATTCTCTGAGCTTTTTTATTTATAAGTTTCGTGTTCCTGAAAATTTGACAAAAAGTCACAAACCTTATGCTATGTATTATGTATTATACTAATAGTGTAATTTATATAAGTTATAAAAACATATATAAATCTCACACGTGTTGTTACTTATTGTATGACACAATGACGCTGTGTGTCCTTATAAATTATTTATTTATGTTTACATTAGATTTGTACAATTATTAATTATTTATGTATATTGTAATACTCGTTAAATTTAATAATTAACATAACATGTTAATTTCACATTATAATTATTACTTAATTTTAAATAAATGTCCACAGCAAGGATTTTAAGTTTAGTGTATATATTATTCTTATAATGTTAATTTGAACTAAAATTGTTAATGTATAATATTATTGTCTTTTTTAAATTATATATAGCTGTACAACTACATACCTATGCATTTCTCGGAATCTTTTAGCTTATTCCGAACATTTAAAGCAAATGCAAGTATTATATAGGTAGTAAGTAGTTCAGACACATTGTCGGTATGATTATTAATTATACTTTATAAGATATGCAAATTAGCAAAATGTTGTACAAATATGTAAGCTTTTTGTTATACTTGCTACTCGTATTTCGCAACATATTAAAATATTAAATTGTACTTCAAACAATAATTTATCATTTATATTCATATTGATGCGTAAATAATATACACATTACCTATACTTAAATAAGTATAATAATACTGTTTAATTCAATTTCTAGTCACTAATGTATAATAATATATATTCATACAATAATATTAATAATATTATCAAATAAGTATTATCATAATAAATAAAATATACCAATTGAAATATGGTTTTATGTGCATTATTATGGTTTTGTACATTGTTTTAGTTAGTTAAATATATAAATTGATTAAACTTTATCGTATTTTTGTATTAAAAATTAATCGTTCCAGTAATTTAGATCTAAATTGTAATTCATTAAAGGCCCTCGAGATAAAACACACTCAGCACTAGTAGTGGATTGAAATATTAATTTCTTCACACCTCCACACTGTGACATGTAAAACGTCTTTTTTTATGAAGCTCAGAGATTTTCTTTATCTACTCTTAAGGCGTTTAGGCATCGTAGAGTTATTTGCGTGTTACTGATTATACGGGTGATATGAAAAGTGAAATACATTTTTTTTTTTTAAATTATTTTAATGTTTCAAAGTCACTCACGCATCTGACCACCCCGAACCCTCCTTTGATTTTTAATTCAAGTGGTTAACTATATCGTCGCTTCCTGCACTTTTTGGCGCTCAGACACCAAGTTAGGTTATCGATGTACCATTCATCGCGAGTTCTCAGTTTGTTAAGTGTAGGTAGTATTTATAAACACTTGAGTATCTAAAATGCTACACCTGCTGTGTATCTATGACGATCATTTGTAACAAAAAATTCATTTACGCGCAGTGCGCACACCAGTTGCACGTCCTGAATTCCTTGTAACTACCAGATTTCCCCGAGCACGCACTTCCCCCGTGGCAACCAATGCGATCAAAACGTGACAACTACAACGACGAAATGTGTGAAGGCGAAAATCGAAATCCGACACCGAGAACTCGGAAGAGCCCCACCCCCACGAAAGCACCGCCTCAAACGCGGGACTCATATTATACACCAATATATAACCACTAACTATATAATACCATAATTTACGACAGCGGACAGGCCCCTATAGGTAATAAATAATATGTGGTCAGATGAAAAAGCTAGATTTTATAGTTTAAGGGATAATTATTATATTTTGTTCATTAATTATATGTATTATATATTCAAAGTCACGCAGTTAAATTCCCTGAAAAAAATGAATTATAAATGGCAAAACGTCATGTTCTGCAAATACGCGCTTTAACCTTCATCCTAAAAATAAATAGAAGAAACACAAATAGTCATATAGGTAGGTACTTAATAAGTTTAAAAATTAATTTTTAGTTAAATTGTTCAGTTTGAAAATAATGGAAATCGTATTGAATAATAGTATAAATTATATAGCTAGATATGGACAATTGTCAATTTCACAAAACATTTTTAAGAATATAAAATGAATATTGACTATATTTAAGCAATGCTTTCATACAGTTTTCTTACTTACTATTTTGGATATTTAAACCTAAAAAATCAATATTCTAGCAAACCCGTACAGTTTCGTAACTAGTGTGCGACTATTAAAACCCATGTAGCCGACGCTGCTGTAATAGTCTTATTGAATATTGATCACAACGAAACAATGATAATGAGCGAATGAGTCGTCAACAATTATAATAAAACGAAAAACCACACGTTTATACAGAGGTAAATATTATATACTTTCATTGCTTAACATATAATTTATATGACAAAAATAAGCCAAAAGGGGGATATGACACCCTTATTCCCCAGTGAGCATGCCCTAGATGGGGGTTATCAACATTAGTGCTGTGTGCGTATACAGCGATTTGTATCAAGTCTAAAGTTCAGTAGAAAGACAAATGCAACATAAAATACCACTTCATTAATAATTTTTTTGAACAATTGTCGTTAAAATATTAAATGGCTTTAAACTTTATGCAATTTATCTATCAGCGATTTTAAATTATAATATTTTACAATTTTATCTAAAAATATCATAAAATGGCCTACACGGGTAATGTTCTAAGCTTCAAGTTTGATACTTGGTGAATTCACTCAATATCAAAAGTGCATAGGGACATTTGGGATTGGTTCTGTTGAATGCAAATTCGGTATGTTGCGCGACGGTCATAGAGACAGAAAAATAGTGCTCTGACTTCCTCTTAAGCAATAATTAATATATTGTTCTTAATTATCTGATGTACAAAACGGAATAATTACTTAGAAATCATTGTCTTAGACAACCAGGATAATAAAAAGATCCCTTTTTTGCAGAATTCAAATTCAGGCCCTAGTTTATGGGATGTCATTTTGTGGTGAGAGTTGAGATTAAAATGTATTTTAGTTTTCTCGAATGAATAGATACGTACAATATCAAATAATAATCATTTATAAAATAATCTTCAAAATATGCTACGTTACGATGAACGCTCGGTTAGAAAATATTTTCATATAATAATGAGTACAAAACCATTGAGATTTTCCCACGGAAGTTTTCCAATCGTTCACAACGTGTGCGTTTATGGGGTCTTATTATTATATATCTATATTATAGTATGCACCCGCATATATAATATATATATATAAGTCCTGTACAATGTGATGCGTTTATAGGTAGTACACGATGATATACCTGTGTGCTATTATCATAATGCGCGTAAAAAGACCTGGATTCGCGATAATCCTCCGGAGTTTAGGGATAAAAAAATGACAAGCGACAGCAGTGCTTTGATGAGCGGGTGTGCTGCAGCAAGGGTAGGAGGAGGACGCGCGTTCTCTGCTGGAACCATACGCGGCTATTATGTATATTATTATTATCATACGGGTAGGTAATATGCATCGCATATATATATATATATATATATATATATATATACCTACGAGTGTGCGTATGGTATATACTACATACATTATATACATATACCTATAATATAATGTGCCTACGCCCGCGATACATCATAATGCACACCAAAATATTATGTACAGTCCTCTACATTGCTGCTCCTCACTCAACAATTTCCACGATTACACGTTTAAACACTCGCACACACACACGCACCCACACACACGCGCGCGCGAGCCAGGTAATAATAATAATATATATTATTATTTTATATTGTGCCGCCACTGTGGCTAGCTGCTTAGGTATACCCTTGCATTATACGCATCATATTATTATATTATATAGACGTGATTTGTGTGCCTGCAGTGTGTGTGTGCGCGTGTGTGTGTGTGCGTGTGTGTACGGCCACCGGGCTTGGGACCACCCATCTGAACCGTTTAAAGCCGACAGAACACATGTTGTATAAATAAGTTAATCCGCGGTGCGCATTGTTTGGCCTTTTGTGTAACCGATATATTATATACTACACACACACACGGCGCGTTTTGTAAAATATTATATTGTCTGCTGTGGCGGCCGGTTTCATCCAATGATCCGGTGTGTCCGCTCCAGTGTGAAATTGGAGTTTGGATTTGCGCCCCGGTGGCCCCCCCGGATTTGTGTGCGCACACACACACAACTATATATACACCTATAGATCGTTCGTTGTGTGCATGTGTGCATTACTATATGTGTGTGTGTGTGTGTGTGTGTGTGTGTGTGTGTGCCTACACATACTTTATACGCGCATATAATATGCGAGTCTTAGGCTCCGCCCCGTGACCGGTATTATGTATAAAATCCGTTGTCGTGGGGTGGCCTCGGCGGCGGGTACATACACCACTATATTATATTATCGTTACCCATGTGTGTATGTGTGTGTGTTTATTTGGAGTTGGTCTTGTGTATTTATATATATATGTGTGTCTGTGTGTGTGTGTATGTGTGTGTGTGTGTGTGTGCGTGATGACCCAACCTCTACGCCGCCGCTTTTTCAAACAATTAGCCCCGGATCATCACGGCGTTGCCACTCGATTGGATCCGTAGCCGCAAATCTTTATCGATTTATACACATCATATTATTATATATTTTATTATGTGCGTGTGTGTGCTGTACGCATGTGTGTGTACCTCTTTAATACAATTTATTTTTTACATTTATTAACACTGCTTTTACCTGCTGTATACATACGTACACACACACACA